AACATGCAAAAAGTATCTTATTTGCATAGTAACCATTTTTTGTCTCTCTTGCAGTTTGCCATTTTTCTCGTACTGGCCATCATTATTGACTTGGCAGCATTAATAGCTGGATATGTCTTCAGAAATGAAGTATGTACATAAATTCATTGTTAGTTACATAAAGCCCTGCAGAAGGCATGGTTTAACTTTGGCTGCATGTTGTGTCTCCTTTCTAGGTCTCATCTGTGGTCGACAACAGCCTCGCTGCCATGATGTCGGGTTATAAGAACAACACTGAGCTGAGAACCGCTGTGGATAAACTGCAGCAGGATGTAAGTTTACTGTAAACTCTGTACTCCATACTCACTGTTTACTTAAGTTGGCACCACCTTCACATAACACTGCTCCATCCTGTTGGCCGGTGCTGTGGAAGATGACTTTTTTTTTTTTTGCCGCCATCTGCTGGCACAAGTTGTATTATCTTACTGTGCATTTGTGATTTGCAGACTTACAATGGGAACGTCCATATGAAATGTTTTTCATTTGACTCACTTATACTTCCAGGTGCAGTGCTGTGGTGTGAACAGTACTGCTTACTGGACCAACTACAAACCTAATAAAAATTCTGTGCCTGACTCATGCTGTGTGAATGTCACTAAAGACTGTGGACTCAACAACATGAAAAACCCCGTCAAAGTGCACCAGCTGGTAAACTCCCAACGACTGATGCTTTTGTAATGAAGTTGGTGAACTTGAGATGTAGCTAAAGCTTGTCTTTAACATTTCAGTCCTGGTTTATTTGTGACACCTATGGTTATTGGTGATAATGGCCATTCTTCCAATATTTAAAACTGATCTGCTGAAAAAGATGTATTTTTGATGAATGAGCTCAGTCAGCCCTAAGCTCCCTGACAAATGCACCGTTTCCTGTGGCTGCTTTACAATAAAAACCACACTGGTTGGTTATTGAGTGATTTTAATGTGAAGCAGCAAAAGGAGATGAGTTTACATTGGGAACTTTTTACAGCTCTGATACAGCTATAGTAAACAGTAATCACTTAATGAAATGTCTCCCAAACCAAACAAAAAACTGAAGTAGAGCCTGTCTGATATAATTAACTGAGTTTGAAAAATCAGCATCTGTTTTCTACCTAAACATCTGTTAAATGTATTTTTGAATAATTGCATACTGAGTGGTATAGTTGGCAGTTGAAAAATGAACCTGTTTGTACTTTCTGGAAAAACTGTTTACACTCCTTAGAAAGTCCTGTGAACCTACAGCTTGCCTTTCTGTATTAGTTTTCAGTTTAGCAGTATATCTGATTATCCAATAGCAACTGATGGAGCTGATTTACATCAGGGTTAAGTGTAAAAGCTTGTGCGTACAGACAAACCCACAGAGAACCATGACCCACATAGATATTAATGTCTGTCTTTTTTTTTTTTTATGCAGGGTTGTCAACCTGCTGTGGAGGCCCTACTGAGGAAACAAATCCAGTGGGTGATCATTGCAGCTCTTGTCATTGCTTTCCTGAAGGTATGTAGCACCATTAAACACAAGCATGTTGCATTAGAGACGTAATCTAACCCAACATTAGTTCATTTGTAACCAAACCCTCTTGCACACAGACCAACAGCTCTGAAGTCAGTGTTTATATTATTTTAATGCATTAATTTTTAAATTTGATCTAAATGTAAACTATAAGTCCCCAAATTTAGCCTTTACGATCACTATACACTTACAAATAACCTATAATGTGGTGGTTAGAAAGAGATTTACTTTATTAACGTATATAACTTAATCATTTCACTTTTCAGGTGAAGACATTTTATATAATTACAGCAGTGTTTTTTCTATATTGTCATTATGCTTACACCTATAAGATAGTGTGTTAACCCTTGCAGGAAGCATTTATATACAGTCTACGTACACTAATCAGCCATAACATTATGACCACCTGCCCAATACTGTTTACATAGAAGTCCATGTGGCAGTTGGTTGGCACTCGTGTCACTCTGCGGCTCACTGTGCATCTTCTGTGAATCCATTTGCTATTTCCATTTGCTGTCAGGATGAGCACAGATGTGTCTACAATTCAGTGAAAAACTTGTGTCAAAGGAGTGAAAACTGTGGTGGTGAGGACAAGTTAGAATTCTTTAGACACATTCAACACCCTCACCGCTCTAAGTGTGATATCACCACTACAGCTCCTGACTCTTTCTCTTCATAGAGACCATCCATCCATCCATCCGCTTTCCTCCGCTTATCCAGGACCGGGTCGCGGGGGCAGCAGTCTAAGCAGAGATGCCCAGACTTCCCTCTCTCCAGACACTTCCTCCAGCTCCTCCGGGGGAGTGCCGAGGCGTTCCCAGGCCAGCCGAGAGACATAGTCCCTCCAGCGTGTCCTGGGTCTTCCCCGGGGCCTCCTCCCGGCGGGCCATGCCCGGAACACCTCCCTAGGAAGGCGCCCAGGAGGCATCCGAAACAGATGCCCGAGCCACCACAGCTGGCTCCTCTCGATGTGGAGGAGCAGCGGTT